TATATATATATATAGTAATAAATTAATAATAATAATAATATTTTTATTTAATTGAGTATTTGCTCTCCTGATGATCCAAACCCATGCAACCAAACTCTCTAAATAAATTCCAAAAAACAAATTTTAATGACAACAAATGGCTATTACCATAAATCTTACAATACTTTTTTATTTAATTGTATAAAAATTTGACTTCCATGAAATAAATACCATTGTCTATGAATAGACCAAGTTAAATTCCTCTTCAAGTTGAGATAAAAGACAAAATCATCATCATCTATTTGTTTGGTTATTTAAACCGAATACATTAATTTTTTGGCTGAAGAAATGTCAACAGGACTTTCATCACTGCCATTTGTCAAGAATAGGACAACACAATGCATCATCAAGTAATATATGAAACTCATCTAATTGCTTGAGATGATCATCATTTTGCATTTTGATGGAAATATTATAACATCCTCTCTACAAAACATGATTATTGTTTCTTGCATCAATGTCTTCCTAGACCTTTAATGATAAGTGATGAGGAATAGAGAAGAGATAATCAATCCCAAGATACCAACAATTCATTCACTAACACTAATTTCTAGCCAGTTAACTATATTAATTAAACTAAATACTAAACCACCATCCAAAATTTTAGATACTTTTCACTCGGAAAAAATATTATGTATGGTAAGTAGTACGTGTGATCGACGTTGTGGATCGCACCATGCCACTAGGAGCCATTTGTGTTGTTGTGCTGGTTTTCGCAGATTTAGAAGGTCTCATCTTTTTTTCATTATGGCAAGCCGTCGTCTCCATCTCCGACGACGAGCTTATCTTCATTGATCTCTCATCAAGCCACAAGACAATGTCAGAGAACACAAGATGAAGATTTTGCTGAGACTCTGCAGATGTGAGTGCATGCCACATTCCCGGGTACAATTTGAAGGTTTTATCCTCGCTTGCGGCGGTGTCGTACAAAGCTTGGCTGACCGACGGATCGGTGACAATATCAGCGCCGCCATGAATGACGAGGAATGGCAACGATACCTGGAGAAATGAGCGTACTGAAAAATTAGCGAATTATTTCTAAGAAATGAGTCTATTGTTGCTTGATAAAGGAGAAAATATTATCTTTGGTTAACTGGACATGTGAATGATGACGTGGATTGCATCATTTTGTGCGTTTGACGGCGTAGTGTGATTTATGCCGTCGTCCAAACATAATATTTTCTATTGATAGAGAGGAATAAGAGGAGAAGCCGGTACTTGATGAAGGTTCTTCTCAATATCTATGCTGATCATGAGAAGCTCTTTGGCAGTTTTCAGGCGAGGCTTCCCCTTGTAGCAGTAAGGGTTACTTCTAATCTGCAGATTTGAATTGTGTTAATTACAGGAACTAGCAAAAGAAAATAATTGAAAAAGTATTGAAGATTAAGAAAAAAAATGAAGATGTATAAATTGTAATGAAATTAAGTCTTAGATTGATTGATTGATTACCTCTTCTCTCCAATCTGGATTCTTGAAAGCACTCTCCGTGATGTCTTTCGTGGGAACTATTTTCCATTTTGGAATAACGCTGCTTAGTTTTGTTAAGGCTTTGACGACCAGCGGATGTGGTTTTATCTCTTCTGCAATCTGTACAAGCTCAAAATCAGCAATAACATCTTCAAATTTACATCATTTTTTTGTAGCTCAATTCTTGCACGCTTAGCAAATTTAAATTGAAGAATCAAAGGACCTTGCACATAGGAGCAACCAAAACAGCTCCATGCCAAAACAATGGCTTCTTCCTATGCAACATAAGAGCAACAGCTCCTCCCATGGATTCGCCAAGTAGAAATCTCTTCTTATTCCTGTTTAATATCATCTCTGAAAACAAACAAGAACATAAAATTGGCTCATTGATTCAAACCAAAAAATAAGAGAAAACTTGTAATTCTCACCAGAAACGGAAGTAAAATAGTTGGAGCAATCATTAACAAGCTCATCAAAGCTTGGAATATAGCCCTGCAAGCCGGCGGACTTGCCATGTCCTCTGTAATCCATTCCATAGACAGCAAAACCAGCTTTTGCCAAACGAGTGCCGGTCACTGAGCGCTCATGAAGAGAATTGTAGCTTTGTGAGCAAATCAACCGACAAAAACTAAACTTTTAAATAGAAAATCGAACAGACATCACCTCTCATTGAGATGCTGCACTCCATTCCATATCCTGTCAATAAAATGAAAGCAATCTGTCAGAAGAAGAAGAGATGACAGAAGAAAGTTGTAATATTGATTACAAAGAAGATACCATGGCAGAGAAAGATGAGAGCTTTGGGATCTTGTTTTTCTGGTAGCCATCGACAGGCAAACAGCCTTACCCCATTAGAACCAGTTGTGAACTCCTGAGAAATTTAAAGAAAAAAACATCAGATTTCTCCTAAATTTGCTATCTTTGATGAAGTCTAACAGTCTTCAAAACACTTCTACTCTTTTTCTCACCTCTTCATACCTAGCACTTCCAATGCCTCCAGCCTGCAAATTAGAAGAACAAAAAAAATTAACACACACAGAGAGAGAGAATTAGGAATTTAGTTCAAAATACCATAGATTATAGACTAGAGATTAAAAGGGGTTGCTTGGCTTTTGATTTCTAGTGTTTGCTAAGAGCTGGGGAGATGCTCTTTATAATTCGTTTTGGAGAAGAAATAAAAAATGACAATAAAAAATAATACTTTCAGTTTAGTTGATAGAAGTGGTGTTGCCGTCTTGGAACAAGTCATATTTTTTTGTAGACCTTCTGTGCCTGCTTAATTATTTATTTGACAAATAATATTTTGACAAAAAAAATTAATCATGATAAAATTTTAAATATAAAATTTAATTCCAAATGAATGTAAGAAATTATTTGTCTGTTAATTTTTATATTATGTTGATTGTATGGAGATTTTAAATTGATATATTTAACTTGAATAAGGTAAATTTGGTAAATATATTTGAATTGAAGGTCAAAACTCTTTTTTTTTTTTTAAAGTATATCTTCTGTTTGAAGATTCCAAGTTGCCATCAAGTTACAATATCTCATGTTGTTAGTAATATTATCTTTCTTTTTTAAAAAGAATATTACAATGTTATCCCATTCTAAAGAATATATAATGCATGAAAGCACTCAAGTTACAACATCCTTGGGAGTTCGAATCTCCTCTGGTACAGTTGGTCTTAAGGAGGTGGTATTTGAATTGTTAGACACATTAGGAGTGGCTCGAGGCTCGTACAATTGCCTCTAGCCATTTCTTTATATATATATAAGACG